TTTGTAGGCTCAAGTGGTTTGGATAAACACTGGCAATTTTGGCTGCTTAACCTGAACTGACCCTCTAACCGTTCTGAGATTTTCCTGTCATAAATGAAAAATCTAAGCTCTCTAGCTATGCCATGTACCCAGGGATGTAATCCTCATCCCCTTGCTAATCCTCCCCAAACTTAATAAATCATTTTCCCATTTTACAAAAATGTCCGTTTTTCCACAATTTAAAGAAACACATGTGAAAATCATCTTTCCTAGTTTAACAGCAGCTATGTTAATACAAAGCATATAAATGACTCAGAGAAGTAGGCCTATTCGCCTCAAACTGGTTATCCCTCTTATAGTTGTATGCATAAAGTCTCTGCCATTGTATTATCTTGTGAAGGCAACATTACCGTGAGTATTAGAAAAAGTGCTTAACTTTTACTGAGTAGTACAGTTATCATCCAGTCCTGCTGAGGGTTTCCTGTAGGGTGCTGAGCACCCATAATTCTTATTGACTTCTGTAAAAAGTTGAAGGTACATGGTGGCAGATCCTCAGTTGCAGGAAACCGACATAGCGCCATTGATTTCAATGGAGCTTTTACAGCTTACACCAGCTAAGGATAGGATTGATGATTTTGGTTGGACATATCCCTGGAGGTTTCATCACATGACCTAATCTTTAATTAAAGATTAGCAGTCCTGGAGAGTTGGCAACCCTAACTAAGGATTTGCCTGCCAGTGCAGTGGATGGGGCAATCAGCAGCACCCCTACACAATTAGGATCATTAGAGACCACAGAGGGGCTTCTGTCTCATTTTATCATCCTATTTTGAAATTTATCTCCTTTTCTTTACAAAAAGCATAGCTAGGATATGGAGCCTGGCCCAAAGCCCATTGAAACCAAGACTTGTCACTGGACCTTTGGATCATGCCTTAATGAAGATGCAACAGAGAAGCGGCTCTTTTTGCAGATGGAGGGATAATTATATTAAGTTCCTTCACTGTGCTCTGCTTCATACATGACACACATTAATTCACAGTCCATATCGAGCCACACATAGACAATAAAATTTCAGAAACAAAATACACACGCAAGAAGCAGTGCAGGTATCTTTGGTGAATTAATGAAGAAAAAATGGGTCTTAAACTTCAGTGAAAAAACTGAAATAAATACTCCAGGTTCTCCAATTTTCTCAATAAAATCCATGGCTATCCTTTACATTCATGGTGAAAGAATCATGCCCTGAATGGTTTGCCAGTGATAGGATTGTTTAATCTACTGTCTTTGTATTTATAGCTATTTTTGAGCTTGTGTTCCTCTTATGTCAGTCCCCCATGCACAGAATTTGCAGTGTCCTCTGGTAAATAGGCTTTTTTGACAAGAAAAGGGTGACGCTCTAAGTTGTCAGATACTTTTAATTCCTGAGTATCATGCCGAATGTGACACTTGGAGGTCGTGATAATAATGTGTTATCTTAATTATGTGTGTCCTCGTGATGCATGTTTTGTAACAGATATAGTACATCAAACTGCAACAGTGTCTTTGAAATGAGATTCATTACTTAAGGGTTTTCTTCCTTCTTAAATAAACAGAGTAAACGAACAATTGCTGAGTCCAAGTTTGAATCCTAGCACTTCCTGTTAAGTCCAAAAAATAGTGCAAGGAACATGTTTGGTCTGCTCTTTCTAAGGCTTGATGATGTGATAGGAAGGATGTTGTGTGTAACATCAAAGAGTTGTGATGTTATACCTCCAAAGCATGACTTCTGGAGGCCTAAATCAAATAATGTGCACTCATTTTTCTCTTGAATATGGCAGGCTTTAATAGAATTGGATTCTTATCAGAAATGTTCCAACAATTTCCTTCATTGTGTTTCTGTGTGCCTTTTTTGACTAGCCAAATTCCTCTCACTTCTCAAAGCCCTGCTAAGTGACTCCCCACTGAGTTTAGTTAAGAACAATTGAGCAAATTGCAAGCTGCGAAAACCAGCCAAGAAACCACTGGTGATGAGCAAATGTTTCTGCTCTTTAAGCTCATTGTAAATGTTGCCTGCTTTTTCCTCCAGTCTGACACTGTTCATGATACAAACCCTTTTGTTTTCCACTTTGACAGGCTCAAACCATATCCTGGATATGAACACCTCCAGACTTTGGAAAAGTACCGCTATGGATCAAAACTTAGCATTTGGGGCCCATGTCTAGTTGGTATAGCAATGTATCGTTGAAAGCCATAGATAGAATTCTGGCCCAGAGATCAACCATACAGTTTTGCTCCCTGAAGGTGGCTGCATTTCAGTGGTGAATGAAATGATCCCATAGGAGTTGTAAATGAATATCTGGGGGCAGATATTGGCCCCAGGTGTATAATTCACAGTTACTTAATGTGATTCGGAGGCTTGTGAAAAATGTTATATAATGTGAACCAATAAGTATAACTGAACAGGCGATCCTTGCAAGCAGAGGGCATAATACTATTAAAGACCAGACATTACTGGATTTTCATGTTGTCCATGTCCCCAGGCTGTAGTATCTGTTTTGGGGAAGAGTACTTGCTGATCTTCAGAAACAACTGTCTATCAAGAAGAGAAGGAGTACTTTTCTTTTTGCGAATACAGACTAACATGGCTGCTACTCTGAAACCTGTCTATCAAGAGTTATAACTGCACTAGTTAGGTACAGACCGAGGGCTGTCTCAGAGCTTTGCTCTCATTAATAATGTGAAAGTGATTTTAAAAAATGTCAGTGCCAAAAAAGAAAAGGAGTACTTGTGGCACCTTAGAGACTAACCAATTTATTTGAGCATGAGCTTTCGTGAGCTACAGCTCACTTCATCAAAAAAAAAAAAAGGTTGTTTGGGGGGGATGTGGAGTGAGTAATTTTGTTGCAACAGTAAATCTGAGCTATGTTTAGTTATTTACTCATTTTTCTTGGGAGGGGAAAGTGTGTTTAATGGTTGGAGCAGCCGACTGGGACTCAGGGCTCCTGGGACCTCTTCCTGGCTCTGCCACTGAGTTACTATGTGACCTTGGGCAAGTCATTTAATCTCTTTGTACCTCATCTGTGAAAAGGGCATATATATATGCCCCATTTACAGGGATGCTTAATAATCCTAAAGCTCTTTGAGAGCCCTGGAAGAAGGGTGAAATATCTCATTTTAAATTTCAGGAAGGTTTGATGAAAAGTGTTTTACAAAATACTGAACAAATAGAAGAGAAGAGAGGCTGAGGGAACTGGGCTTGTTTAGTCTGCAGAAGAGAATAGTGAGGGTGGGATTTGACAGCAGCTTTCAACTACCTGAAGGGGGGTTCCAAAGAGGATGGAGGTAGGCTGTTCTCAGTGGTGGCAAATGACAGAACAAGGAGCAATGGTCTGAAGTTGCAATGGGGGAGCTCTAGGTTGGATATTAGGAAACACTATTTCACTAGCAGGGTGGTGAAGCCCTGGAATGGGTTACCTAGGGAGGTGGTGGAATCTCCATCCTTAGAGGTTTTTAAGGCCTGGCTTGACAAAACCCTGGCTGGGATGATTTAGTTGATGTTGGTCCTGCTTTGAGCAGGGGATTGGACTAGATGACCTCCTAACGTATCTTCCAACCCTAATATTCTATGATTATCTGCCATAACACAAGATTGAGAAACACGGTCTCCTGGAGATTATCTTGAGTAAACCAAGAACAACTTGAATCACTATTAAACTGGATCAGCAAATCTATAGTTACTGTATATTCATCTAAAGCATAAATCCCTCTTTAACTTACTTCCAGGTAACCAAACTAGTGACTTGGTCATGTCTCTAGCTACTATGGGCAACATGCATTTCTTCCCCCCCGCTTTTATAAAAAGTCCCAGGAATCAGAGGGAAAAAAACTATATTGCTGATGTTTTTCATTTTCAAATTCATTAAATATTTTGGTCATTTTTCCTCATAGTCCCCCTTTATTTAAATTTCTCCTATTGCCTACGAATTGAGCTATGCACTGATACATATCCTGGAAGTTTCTGTCATCATCTATGGTGGGATGGGGAGAGATGGATGTTCCTCCTGCTGGAGTCTATTATAGTCTTCCCTTATATCAGCCAGGAGGACTGCTAGTACCTTCGAAGGACCCATGCCATTCTGATCATTTTCTGGCTTAGGAAAGTTGGATGTTCCTCCATCTGGGAGCCTGTCAGTGCCTCATCTTCTGTCATCCAGAAGGTTCACTAGAGAGCAGTGATAGTGTTCCTACTGTTTCCTGTCTGGAAGCGAGGGATCTGAGGTTGGGTCTCCATCTTCAACCCTGTGTACGTGAGCATATTACACTCCCCTAGACTCTGCACTCTGAGAACACTGATGGGAGTTTATAACAACAACTTGTGAACTGGAGCTTTGACCCTAATTCTTCTTTCCCCGTTTAGAAAAGTCACTTTGTATTTCAATCTCTTCCCTGCCGAACTCCTAATTAAAAGTTGTGTGATTGCTATTCCAGGTGTACCTCTGTGGCCACAAATTTTACATATATCGATAAAGATGGCCATTTGAATTTGATTCAGACAGCAAAGATGAATGTCTCACACAGATCGTGGGTGCAATCCTGGTCCCACTGAAGTAATTGCATTCCAGGATTTCACCCCTTATTTAAACCACAATGAGTCTGAAAGAATTTTACAAACATGGGTCTCATGCTTTAATGTGGACATAAGGTGGAACTGAAAAAATCTATACAAACAAAGATGACAAACCTGACCCCCTTTGTAACTGCAATTATGACTTGATTGGAACAAACTAGACAGACTACATAAGCAGTTCTTGCCAATCATATTAATTCAGATAAAAAATAAAAATGTAGAGGAGATAAATCCATTTAAAAAAAATGTAGGTTTGTGAGGAGTTCCGCACCAAAACCCAAAGACATGCACACAATTTTTGTTGGAAATCTAGGAAAGCAAAACTTGCTTTGTATAAATAATGTATTCCCCACTAATATTAGACTCATCATATCTGTATATTTTTAGCATTGTCAGGCATTAGTTTCTGGAGATCATAATCTATTACGTAGGACCTTTTAAAATTTGGCTTTGATGGTGAATGTATTCCTTATAAAAACTAGGTTAGAGCTATGCATGCTGCTGGAACATGAACCCATCTTTGAAACAGAGACTAACCATGATTCTCTTTCCTGCTGTCCTCTTCTCCTCTACCAAAAGGTAATCACTTTTTTCTTTATTTCTCTATTTGGTTAATTGATGCTTATTTGATATGTCCAGGGATTGTACTAGGAATGAAAATAGTTATTAATATGTTGTTAAATAAGTAGTAAAATTATAAACTAAATAAAAGGGGAGCCCATAAACAGCCAGATAAAACTGCAATAAGTTACAGGCGCTCCTGGGAGGCACGCAGGAGTGGAAGCCAGAAATTTTTGTGTTCTAATCCTGGCTCTGACACTGTCCTTAAATCAGCTACTCCAATCTTCTCTCTGTTTCCTGTCTGTAAAATGGGGCAGATAATACTTAGCTCTGTGAGCGTAATCACCTTTGCAAATTTTAATTAATGTTGGTAAAGCATAACAAAGGTGCAAAGAACTATAGAAGTGCTAAGTTAATTTATCAAAATGAAGAAAGGATTTAAAAAAATCCTAAGTATGAGCTTGGTAAAAATAAATTAGGATGTACAGATGCAGATGAAAATCCATCATATGGTTTAGAGTCAAATTAGAAAGGTTTGGACGGAGAAATAGAATCTTGCCTATTGCAGATAACAGTGGAGAAGTTGCCTGATCCACCACAGGCGACCACGCTGCTGAATCGCTACAGTACAGATCCTCAGTATCAGCAACTCTTCATCAATCTGGTAAGAGTGAAGCCAACTCTAAAAACAAACATTTCCTCCATGAACAATGTATTTGTTATATTTTCTCATTTGTTTATGATGGCTGTGTCAGCCGCACTGACTTACATAAACACTGCCAATCCTGGGATGTTACACTCTCAACAAAAGTAGCTGAGTACAAAGAGCATTCCAGAGTTTTAATTCATATTGTATAAACGTAACAGATGTTGATAAAATGAGCCAACAAGAAAATACAACAAAGGAGACCATTTCAAGGGGGCTTTTGATTAAAATACATTCCAGATTGACCAAAAGATACAACGTTAATGGAATAGATCATTTAACTGTCATCATTTGGCTCCTTTAGCATTATAAAGCAAACAGAAAGCATTTCCATGTTTATTTCCTAAATACTGCACCAGAATATTGGGCCCAAGCACATTATAGTTTTTGGTGCACTGTACAAAGCTTAAGAAAAATAAATAAATAATTAAATAAAGCCAGTCTTTGCCTCAATGAGTTTACAATGCACAGAGTAGACAAGGATAAAATGTGGCACCCTGGGAAATTCAGAGTTGGGACTGACTTAGAGGGTTTTTATGTAAAAAATAGATATATTTTGAGCTCTGCTTGAGTTCACTGTAGTGATTCTGTTGAACACAAGAATTGCCATACTGGGTCAGACCCGATGTTACCCAGGGTTCTTTCAACCCAAAGCTCTTAGTAACTTTTACTCTGTGCGAGGTGGTGTCAGGAAATAAATCAGGGGAGTCACGGCCCTCCGACCGATAGATGGCTGGCACAAAGAGGACAACACAAGAGTGCTTTTACTTAAAGCTAAACTTTACATAGCCTCAAGCACTTATACACACGTCCTCAAGAGGTTAGTAAAACACCCCCAACCCTTGATAATTACCAAAGCTGAGTGTGGCTCTCGAGAGGCCGCAGGGAAACACAAGATGCATCCAGAAAGAGAGAGTCCAGTCCTGAAGAGTCCCACTACCTCAAACTTTTCCCCCTTATTTACACATTAGTAATAGAATGACGTGTCCCTTAAAGCAAACTTGTTAAGTAAGCAGTTTCAATGGTCAAGCGAGAGGTTCCTTCTGATTATCGATTAACCAGCTGTGGGTTTTTCCAGAGTTTGTAGCCTTGAGGCCCCAATAGACATTCCTGGGGCACATCCTGCTCTTCTAAGATGCATGTATCAGCAACTTCAACACAGTTCTTATCAGGAAGGACATGGGGTCAAGCTGCCCTTTCTGTGGTACCCAAAAAGCCCCCTCCCCTCCTGCCTTGGTTAAGCTAAGCCTGCTGACTTGGCTAATTTACGGCCTGCTGACTTGGCTGCTTTTAGCAATAAGCCATAGTGGTTTCAGGCACTTTACTGGTTTGCCAAAGTCTCCCCGTACACCGAGGTCCATGTAGGTTGGTATTCTGTCTCTGGCATTGGCCAGGAACAGGTGCTTCAGAGGAAAGCATAAGAACCTTGCCTCCCTTCCAAGATAATCTGCCTCTTACATGGATCTCATCCTGATCTGTAATAGTTAGAGATGGGTTTAAACCCTGAGGCATAAGGTTTAATATCCCTTCTACATGTTTGTTATGAATTGTGATAACTCTGTATAGTCTTGATGTCCATATAAATGTCTCATCTCTTTTTGATTCTTGACCTCAATGACTTCCTGTGACAATGTCCACAGTTTAATAACACATTGGGTGCAAACATATTTCCTTTTATTGTTTTTGAATTTCCTTTCTTTCAGTTTCAGTAAATGTTCACTTGTTCTTGTATTATACTATAGGATTGGGAGAACACAAGTTCCTGATCTACCTTCTTGATATCATTCATTATCTTATTCTGTCCTCTCTGTTTCTCCTTTCCAAAGTAAACGTGACCTTAAGAGCCCCACAGTTCCAACTGGCAAAGCATTCACTGTCATGTAACAGCTACTCTTAACAGGCCTGACAAACTCACTACACCTAACACATTGCTGTCATAGTATTCACCTATAAAGAATGTCTTGTAAGGTATCAGATGAAAACTGGTAACATAACAGCCATTAATATAATTGTGAAACGTATGTGTTAGTACTATATGAAGAATTATGGATACTCACTGATATTGTGCTTTAAAGTCTGTAACCAAACAAAAGGAGAAACAGGTTTTTTTCCCAGACAGGAGGGAAGGTAGTTATCTCCCTGTTTCTCATGTAAATTGAGCATTGTGGAGCCAAATACAGTGGGAACTACCTTTGCATGGAAGTCAACAGGAAAAGCCAGGTTGATAGGGGTGTGTGAACTCTGCTTGGGAAAACACTGTAATCTGAACCCCAGCGGTTCACCCTGTTTCTGGGAATAAACTCCCTAGGAACTTTGGGAAATATAAGAAGAAGCAAAAGGACGTTCTGTTATCCATTTACTGAGGAGACCTCTGGTAATGAGTAGGGGAAATCATGAAAATCTGGATCTGGATTTGATTGAAAACCAGCAAGCTCTACAGAAAAACTCTGAGGATAAGAAAATGGCTTTATCCAAAGGATTTTGTAGCTTGCTAAAGTTATGTTTAGTCTCTTAGAAGTGTGTTGTACTTTTGTTTCATTTGTAACTAATTCTGTTTTCATTATCCTTGCTTTATATCACTTAAACCTCTTTGTTAATAAACTTCTGTGTTTTATGAGTAGATCTCTGTGCTGTAATATTAGCAAAATGTGAATCAAACAAGCTGGTGTGCACACTCTCTTTGGAGATAGTGGACTTTTTTGGGAAGTTCTATGGCCTGTGTTATGCAGGAGGTCAGACTAGATGGTCAAAATGGTCTATTCTGGCCTTAGAATCTATGAAGTTGGTAATTTTTGTGAGTGTCCAGTGACAGGGGCTGGGTACTCCGGGAGAACGATCTTTCAGGGGCTTAGGACTAGGGGTGCATCACATATTACCTGCAAAGCAAAGTAAGGGCCATCAGAGTCCTGAGAAATTTGTCTGGGATAGCTAGCAGATTGGGCTAACAGGGAGTTTCACCCAGTTTAGCACCAGCAAATCTCTCTCTTACTGAGGTAGAGGCATGGTAACCTGTAATTTTGGGCATCCTGAGAAAGAGTCACAAAACAATCTGTCTTTTTAATCTCTTTTTTCATTTGTGAGTTTTCTCAGGCCCTTGATCGTTCTCACTGCTCTTCTTTGACCGCCCCTACCCCTTTAGTTCTGCAGTATTCTTTTTGAGATGGGTTGACCAGCATTGCACACAGTATTCCAGATGAGGCCATGCCACTGATATAGATACAATTATTATAATATTCTTTGTATTATTCCAGTCCCATTCCTTATGCATCCTAACACTTTAGCTTTTTTTTTTTTTTTTTTTTTTTTTAAACCCACAGCTACGCATTAAGCAGAGGTCTTCATTGAGCTGTCTACAGGGAAGCCCAGGTCCCTTTTCTGAGCTGATAAAGTTAATTTACGACCTGTAATGCGTATTGGGCTGTCAAGTGATTCAAAATATTAATCACGTGATTCAAAAAATTAATCTCAATTAATCATGTGATTAATTGCACTGTTAAACAATAATTGAATACCATTTATTTCAGTATTTTTGGATGTCTTCTATATTTTCCAATATATTGATTTCAATTACAACACAGAATACAAAGAGCACAGTGCTCATTTTATATTTATTTTTTATTAAAAATATTTGCACTGTAAAAAAACCAAAGAAATAGTATATTTCAATTCACCTAATTACAAATACTGTCGTGCAATCTCTTTGTCATGAAAGTTGAACTTACAAATGTAGAATTATGTACAAAAAACCCCTGCATTAAATAATAAAATAATGTAAAATTATATCCAAATCCTCTCAGTCCTCCTTCAGTCAATCGCTCAGACAAACAAGTTTGGTTACAATTTGCAGGAGATGCTGCTGCCCTCTTCTTGTTTACAATGTCACCTGAAATTGAGAACAGGCGTTCAGATGCCACTGTTGTAGCCGGCGTCGCAAGATATTTACATGCCAGATGTGCTAAAGATTCATATGTCCCTTCATGCTTCAACCACCATTCCAGAGGATATGCGTCCATGCTGATGACTGGTTCTGCTTGATAACAATCCAAAGCAGTGCAGACCAACACATGTTCATTTTCATTATCTGAGTCAGATGCCACCAGCAGAAGTGTGATTTTCTTTTTCGGTGGTTCGGGTTCTGTAGTTTCTGCATTGGAGTGTTGCTCTTTTAAGACTTCTGAAAGCATGCTCCACACCTCGTCCCTCTCAGATTTTGGAAGGCACTTCAGATTCTTAACCTTGGGTTGAGAGCTGTAGCTATTTTTTAGAAATCTCACATTGGTACCTTCTTTGCATTTTGTCAAATCTGCTGTGAAAGTGTTCTTAAAACGAACAACATGTGCTGGATCATCATCCGAGACTGCTATAACACAAAATATATGGCAATGTGGATAAAACAGAGCAGGAGACGTACAATTCTCCCCCTAGTTCAGTCACAAATTTAATTAACGCATTATTTTTTTAATGAGCATCATCAGCATGTCAGCATGTCCTTTGGAATGGTGGCCAAAGCATGAAGGGGCATATGAATGTTTAGCATATCTGGCACATAAATACCTTGCAACACTGGCTACAAAAGTGCCATCTGAACACCTGTTCTCACTTTCTGGTGACATTGTAAATAAGAAGCAGGCAGTGTTATCTCCCATAAATGTAAACAAACTTGTTTCTCTTAGCGATTGGCTGAACAAGAAGTAGGACTGTAGCATCTCAACAGTGTCCTTATCTTCCTTAATTGCTCTCTTCATCCACTGGTGATCCAGTGAAGTCACTAATCCTTTTGTAAAAAGAAAAGGAGTACTTGTGGCACCTTAGAGACTCACCAATTTATTTGAGCATGAGCTTTCGTGAGCTACAGCTCACTTCATCGGATGCATACCGTGGAAACTGCAGCAGACTTTATATACACACAGAGAATATGAAACAATACCTCCTCCCACCCCACTGTCCTGCTGGTAATAGCTTATCTAAAGTGATCATCAAGTTGGGCCATTTCCAGCACAAATCCAGGTTTTCTCACCCTCCACCCCCCCACACAAATTCACTCTCCTGAGCTTTCTGCTTCTGAAACGTTTAAAGAATTTCATGTTTGTTTTTACACATTTAGTTATCTGCTCCTCAAAATGGTAGAGAAATGTGAAGGTAAAAGTAGTTGCTCATTTCCTTCATTGTGGATCATTAATTAGAAATTTCCCTACAGCTGATTAAACTGGCAGTAGGCAAAGATTTTGCTTGGGATTTTTGATAATGAATTTAATTTCCTGCAGCCTCTGAGTTTTCCCTGCTAGTCTCTCAACCACTATTGGCCCTATTTAGTTTGTGAGATTTGACTAGATTACATCTGGAGAGGTGATGTGACTGCAGACCAGACAAAAGAATACTAAGGAGTATATTATTATTCAACCACAGTATAGTTTATTCTCTAAATAGACTAAATGGAGAATGTGAAGTACATCTGAAGACTTGACTTGGCAAGAAGGTATATTTAAGGCTTCTATTTTTCAACAGATTTGACATTTTTTTTTTCCTGAACTGACAACTAAATTGGAAATTTTCATTACAAAAGTTGGTAACCCTAAAAAAGTTCCTTCAAGGGAAAGCATGCACATTTGTTTGGTTTAAGGAAACTACTTTGTCTGTGATGACGATCTGGGCTGCACGTAGAAGTGGGCAAAATTTTTTGGCCAAAACTTTTTTTCTTTTGCAAAAATGCAGATTCCGTGGCACTGAAACATTTCATGAATTTGTTTGTTTCACGGAATTGTTAATTAAAAATCAAAGAAACACAAACTCCAAAATTCTGAAGAAAGTTGACCCATCTTATTTTGACATTTTTTTAAATGAAATGTTTCTATATTTTTACTTGAAATAATGTTTTCAAAATTTCTTTTAAGGTTTTTTTTTTAAAAATTCCAGAATGATGAAAAGGTTGAAACTGAAACAAAATGTTCTGTTGTTGAAATTAATATTATGTTTGTAATATTATGTTTACGAAACAATTTTTTTTCAATTTTTCAAAATTCCCAACAAACTACAAAGTGCATTATTCACTGAGCTTTAATCTTAACTACTAACCAACACTTGCTGATTTCCCTACTAGGTTAATCAGCGAGGTGTTTCTGCATTTTTTATGTTACACCTTGCCCATTTCACACTGTTTTAGTCAGTTTTGCACCAAGAAATGTCAAAAGTTTGACAATGGGAAGCAAGGAAATCTGTTTCATAGTACCAGAAAAAGAAACTCTGGCAAATAGCCATATAGCAGGTCAGGGCTAACGGGAGAAAAATGCCTGTAGAAAGAGCTTGAGAGCATATTTGTAGTGTTTCCTTTTGGGTGAAATACAACCTTAACTTAGGCATAAGCCAATGCATGGAGTCTCTGGTGGCGGAAAGTCTACTATGGAGGAGTTCGTGGAGGATAAAGTGGCTGTAACCTCACTTTGCCAGGTGGCCTAGATGCCAGAAATGGCTGGGGTGAGGGTATGGGCAGGGCAGTTGAGAGATGCACTGATTCAGTGCAGCAAACTCTTGATGGCCTTTGCTGATAGGCTCCTATAGAGCTCCTGGTCAGAACTCAAACTGACCTATGAGGATGAATCCTGCGGAGGGCCTCCCTGTTGCAGCAAGGTCCAATTTGTACTTCCTAATACTTTCTGGGTGGATCTTGCCCTTCATTAGTCCTTTTAAAAAAATTATTTTTCAAAGAAATCTGAATGCTCTCTCTCCTCTGGTTCCAATCTACCCACTATCCAAAAATATTCCTGGAGAGACTACAAGACGCACCATCCTCAGATGGGTGTGGGGAGCTTCCACTGATTTCCCTGTGCACCCATATGCACTCAAGGATAGAATTTGGCCCAAGTTATGAGTAGGATGCTGTATGGATAGGTAAGATATAGAAACTTGGTGAACACCTACTTAAAATACCAATATTTACCTGGGAAACTTACCGAATTAGCTATAGCTAAATCTAGAAACATTTATGTCTAAGGTGGGATTCAATGATCAGCATTCAGCACCCAGCAGACCTCATAGTATATAATTTTTCTTTTTGTCCTCTCTCATGCAGTATATATTTCTGATTTGCTGATTTTTACTAACATTAACTAAAGAATATTACAGGATGTCATAAATGGGTTGTTTAATGAAAGAGCAATTATTAAACATCTCTTTGACTTAATAAATACTTGGTCATTTACTATTTCCAAACAGGAATTCAGATCATATCAATGGAGCTCAGCTTAGCTGTTCCAGCCTGTGAGATTTGGTTATATTCCAGTCATAACAGCTTAATGTGAACCTGATCTTTTAGTGGAAAAGAAAGGGCTTATTACTGTGTACTTTATACTGATTTGGGCACAGCTGAAATAAAAAAAGAAAGTGTAGTAATCTAACCCCCCACCACTCATGAAGCCTGCTGCAACAGGAATGGCTACACACTTATTTTCTCCAACCCCCACCTTCTCTCTCTTTGTCTTGCAGGAGCCGTACATAAACAAATCAGCGGTGTCAGTTCAGGCTCATTTCTCTCTGCAATGCACATACATCATCTTTCGGACCTTGGGGCTTCGCCACCTGACAGTTGTTGACCTACAGAACCGAGTTGTTGGGATAATAACCAGGAATGATCTGATGTCTTTCCAGCTGGAGGAGAGGCTGGCGTGCCAGCTGGCATTGCAAAAACGTGACTCAGATGAGCAGCCCCTAGATTAGGAAAAGAGAACAGAACTGTTAATGTTTTGTTTCTTAAGCTGACAAACTTTATTTTTTTGTTTTTAATAAGCCTGCATTCTTCTTAGGTAAAGGAAAAATGGATAAGACTGTACTGTTTGATTCCTTTAGAGCAAGGAAGTTCAAAGGCATCCTACACAGGCCCTTAAATGTATCCTACCACTAGCTCCCTTGAACCATAGGATGATGCCAAAGTTCACTGACAGCAGATTTGGCAGGGCTCTGGGTTAGATGGACCATTGGCCTGACCCAGTATGGCTGTTCTTATGTATGTTCTTATATTTTTAAGGCTTGTGAACTAAATCAGGAATTTTCTACTCATCTACCATGGAAGGCAGAAGTACAATCAGATATGAAGGTTGTGGTTAAAGTGTCCAAAAGCATCTATTTTCAAAAGTGACATAGTCATTTAGCAGCCTAATTTTTAGCAGCCTGCTGATTTTCACTTAGGCGTTGTCAACACTTAAAGTTGTACTGCTATAACTATGCTGGCAAAGTTAGATGCAAAAATGCCCTAGCACAGATGATCTTATACTGGTAAAACTTATGCTGGTTTGGCGAAACAAAATAACCTATATCAGTATAACAGCGTATCACTATAACTGTATCTACTCTAAGGCTTTTACTGACACATTTATGTCAGTAAAAAAATCACACCCCTTAGCTACATAATTATGCCAGTAAAACTTTAAGTGCAGACTAGAGCTCAGGTTCCTAAGTGTCTAACTCACTTTTAAAAAATAGGACCTAGGCTCCTAACTGACTTAGACGCTTTTAAAAAATTTACTGTGTGCACCTTTCTTTTTTATTTTAAAAGCATGTACTTGTAGGCTGATTTTAAACACCGCCTACAAGTACATGCTTTTAAAATGTACAACCAACTAAAATGAATGGAAATTGGGCATCCTACTTGTCTGAGATATATTTTAAAATCTTAGTTTCAATGAGTATGCCAGGCAGGCATAGTCCTGAGACCCTAGGGGGCAAACTGCTAATGTGGCTCGCAGTGGTGCAAAGTTTGAGTACATCTGCTCTTGACTACATTTCCTTTCATGTTTGCAGCTATTAGAACAGTTTCGCTTTCTGTTCACCCACCTGGTGTAATTTAATATGTAATGAGTGTCACACACAGAGGAGATGATCACAATTGCTCTCTGGTTTGGATGTAGCTGTTGTTTATATTTTAGCATATTTGGAAACCAGGCACCCAGAATATAATATACAAGGCCCCATCCTTTGTGATTTTTGGTTTCAAACATTATATGCTTCCATGGAAACTTCATTAAATGTTGATAAATGAATATGACAAATCTTTTGGATAAGAGACTGGTAGACTTCCTCTCTGACATCATAATTAATTGTTATTTTTGTTCTGCTAAATAATAAAGCATTTCCCATAAACATGCTTATTAAAACCACACTTTTGTCCCAAGGGTCTACCATGATTAATGTTATAATGATTACCAAGAAAAACTAGTAACTGTTTACTGGTTATAAAAAGTTGCCAGATTATCTGAAAGTTAGATTTCTGGTATTTGAATTGTGCAGCTTCTAGCCTCCTATTAGTCAGAGATTTATAGGACTTTCCCCCGATATAGTTCTTCACTTAGTAATTGCAGTTTTTCTAGCACTGCAGAGGGTGCAGAGCGCATTAAAGTGTCTGAAGTTTACAAGACAAAGGGCAGAGAATGAAATGCTAAAGAGCTTGCAGTCCAAAGCCATAATTAGGTATAGGAGAGATAATGAACGAGGAATGTCTTATCGACCATCTAGCTGGTAGGCGGTGGGGAACAGGTGGATTTTTAATCATCTCCCTTTCAAACCAGTAATATTATAATAACTAGTATATTGGCTGGGTCACCGTCATTACTGACATGTGCTTCACCTACTCCAGGGATGTGGGGATGGAGTGTCCTGAGCTTTGTGGATCACTGAGCATCAGCAGGACAATAGATCTAATCTAGAGCCCTCTTGTGAATTCCCCTAAAAAACTGGTGCTATGAAGCTGGCTTTGAATCCCACTCCCTCTGGTAACTAATAACTAATCCCATATCTGGAGCATGCTTGCTGTAAACTTGTGCTCTTGGTTCAAGGCCCAGTACTCCAGCTGGTAAATGGGCTCCTTGATTCCTTGAGTGCATAAACAATGCCATTCCACTAGTACTCAGTCATTATGTGCCCACCCATGTAGTGTAAGTCTCCTTCATCTTTCCACTAATTACATCTCAGGCTGATTACCTCCAGGAAAACAGTATCAACTATGTTCTGTAGTTGTGGTCTACTGAAATGAACATAAGGCTTAGAGAGTAAGATTCATTGAGTCAAATCCCAGCACTGCCACTGTCTCATCACATGACCTTGAGCAAGTCACTTAAGTTCCTGTGCCTCAGTTACTCCATCTGAAAAATGGGGACATTAATGGTGATCCACCTCTGTAAAGGGCTTTGTGCAATGCATATGAAAAGTTCTATATAAAAATATGAACTATTAATTTTAAATTATAATTATTTATCTTATACCAATGATAAAGCAGTGCTAATTTTGCCATCATGACAATGTTTCTTAGGAAACATTCATCCAATTTACCACATATCACCTAAATGCCCTGTTATGTATTATGGGGGTTGCATTCTCCCACATGTTACGCCCAATATCACCAACAGACGATGCCTAAAATGGTAAAATCATACATGATACAAGGGTAAGATGTGCATATACTACCACAAATAGAATTCCTTTCAACATTTCCCAAGAGACATGAAGATGAGGCTCAAAGGAAGAGAGAGATTGTGGGCCCCACAGTCAAGTGTCCCACTCAGAGACTCTGACAACACTCATGACACACTATGTACAAAATGGTGAAAAGAAATGGCATTCTGCAGTCTACTCTTCGTGATACTTCATCAACACATTGGCTCTCATGATCCCCACATCCAACAGGTTTCTAAAGAATGGAAATGGCAAACAGACCAGGCTCTTCAGCAAAGTGTGTTTTTTACAAGGGATGATGCCAGCTACTCTTCTCTGTTTTTGAGCGCCACTTTACTGAGAGGTGAACCTTTTGGTACTTAGGCATAATGATTTGAGAAACTGAGATGAAACTGTCTTATGGTTTTGCATGAGATATGTATTTAGATTATGGATGTTCACAATTTGCCAACACAAATCCCAGTGAAGAAGGGGAAGAAATCCTCAAGGGAAGGTCCATTTCAAGTCCTTCACCATCATTTTTGGTCTTTGTATGCAGTCATACATCTTCCCACTGACTCCATTTTTATGATGGTTTCCCACCACTTATTTGTACCCCAGAATGAAATCTATTTTGCAAATGACATGGCTTTTGTTTTGTCCAGATTTGAGACAGAAAGATCCAAAATAAAGTATATTGAGACAAAAAACTCCCTTTTGAGTTAAAAGGGTTTCTTTTTATCAACATTGTGTCTGACAATAGCTATTACAAATCCCTGTATGTGAGCATAAAATCCTATAAAGGGCCATTGCTGAGGTAAATAATTTTCTGCCACATGTCTCCTAAGAGAATGTAATACCACTTTATGACCCATGTGTTCTTAAGTACTTATTCCAGTATTCAGTGTATTAGTGTTCCTATCACACGGCACTGCTCTGATATGTACTTTGGAATTAGCTGTTTAGTACTTAAAGTGTAACTCATCATAATGCAAGATCCTTTTTAATTTCCTTGGTTTCTAAATGAGTTATTGGGTTCACTATATTAGTATTATTACTATTATAATATCTAAAAGGCAACTACGCAAAAGCCAACAAAGAGCTCTATTTATTATAGCCATTACAAAGTATAGACTAACGCCACACTTCATCTTTATTTATAGTGCCTAAACTTTTTCTCCCATTCTTGAGTGGGTGGTCTGGTTACAGTGATGGCAAATCATTTACATCACTTTCCCTAAAGTAACACAAAATCCACCCAAATGATGAAAAATGATTTTTTTTGTAGTAAGAAAGCTTTCTAAAGAAAATCTATAGCTCTATGTATAAGGTATCCCACTGGAACTTTCTTTTCCCTAAACTAATTTTCATATTGGTTCTCCCAGCAGTTTCCAATAGTGCCATGTTTTGAGGATCTCATTGTACTTTATATTTATTTAAGTAATATGGTGCAAAAATAATCTGTGTTCACTTGGAACTCTGCAAAATGTAACTTTTTACATTTTTACATTACTACACCAGTGATTCTCAAACTGGGGCACTTGCAGCCCCAGTCACAGACAGCTGGCTGGTCACATGGTGCTGGCTCCTCTGCCTTGTTGCTAGCTGCCAAACTACATTGAAAGAAGCTCTAAATACATTAAATATGTTCCAAATGTTACTTTTCCATGTAAGCAGTTGCTGTAGTTGCTAAAAGGAAGCTATGTGATGGTGAAGTAATTCGTGTGATAAAGACAATTTATCTATTAAAATGCAGCCCACATTATGAATGTCTTCATATTGGATGTGGAGCTTGCCAAGCTAATTTATGGCAGCCTCATCAGCTGTGCAGAGCCCTAAAACCACCATCAAATCTTGTCAGAGGGCAGTCGTCAGTGATGTGAGACATTGTCCATCTGTCTTCGGCCACAGCTGCATGTGGAATCTTCTCATTAGTCCCAGGTATGAAAACTGCCTGCACATTGACCCTGGCCCATTCAAAACTGGTGATGTGGTGGAACCAGGAACGTGTGTGGGCAGGTCAGTTATAAGAGACTGGTTTCTGACATCAGCTGCAGACAACTCTTCACGCCACATCGACGGCACAGAGAAATCTGGGCAGTGCCAGCAGGCATACAACAGGTGCCTTGATGACAAGCTTGCTCCTGAGAGGTTGTAGAAGCCTGTGTATTGTGGTAGACTTGGGTTTGCCCTGATCTTCTTAACCATTCTGACTGTAGCATCCTCACAATGGATGTGTGGAGGAGTGCTTAACACAGGAATGTTGCTTAACACAGGAAGCCATGGTACTGGCATGCATCAAATTGTCCCAGTTACGAGGAACATAGTTAAATATAATGGTCAAGCTATCTGGCTAGCCCTCAGAATACCGCAGCTCAGCACTGAGGACTGTTGGCAGCCAAACACATCATTATCGCCACTATGAATAGAAGATTAGGGTTGGAAGAGACCTCAGGAGGTCATCTAGTCCAACCCCCTGCTCAAAGCAGGACCAACACCAACTAAATCATCCCAGCCAGGGCTTTGTCAAGCCAGGTCTTAAAAGCCTCTAAGGATGGAGATTCCACCGCCTCGCTAGGTATCCCATTCCAGTGCTTCACCACCTTGCTAGTGAAATAGTGTTTCCTAATATCCAACCTAGACCTCCCTCACTGCAACTTCAGACCACTGCTCCTTGTTCTGTCATCTGCCACCACTGAGAACAGCCTACCTCCATCCTCTTTGGAACCCCCTTTCAGGTAGCTGAAGGCTGCTATCAAATCCCTCTTCTCTTCTCTTCTGCAAACTAAACAAGCCCAGTTCCCTCAGCCTCTCCTCGTAAGTCATGTGCACCAGCCCCTGATAATTTACGTTGGCCTCCACTGGACTCTCTCCAATTTCTCCACATCCTTTCTGTAGAGGGGGGCCCAAATCTGGATGCAAAATTCCAGATGTGGCCTTACCAGTGCCGAATAGAGGGGAACTGTATGACACAAGGTATTGGTAAACTGCTCTGGACTTTCTTACTTCCAGGTCCTCTGTTTGAATCTAGTTCAGATGGTTAAAGCATTGTCATCTGATGTGTATTTTGACATATGTGAAAAGTGTAGATTCTTAGTGATCAGGTGTTCACACCATAGAAAGACACCTTTCCAAGTGGCATCCTTTATGCCAGCCTCTTCACTGAGAAGCCAAAAACTGAATGGGAATGGAAAAAGAACTACCCATCGCTGCAAGAGGTGGTCCCCGTGGGCCTACATCTGGAGAATAACTGGTGAGGCAGTGCAGTAAAATCTGGGTTAATGTTGCCTGTGCTATACCTGCTTTTTATAAAGAGAGGATTTCAGTCAACAGAGCTGTCAGTGCACCTTGGGTGATCAATAAATTGATTACCTTCTAATTTTAGGGAAGGGGTTTGCTCTCAGCACAATTGCCTGGGTCTTGGACATTCATTCTAAAGCTGGTCTGGACTTTTTCAGCAAAACCTTTTCTCATCAGAAAGTGGTGATTCATCGAACTGAACTATTTTGTGGGAACATACTAGGGTCCATGAAATCAGGAAGGGTTTCTCAGCTCCACACGGGGCGTGAGAGTACCCCAAATAGCCACTAGCTCAGTGGTTAGGGCATACGCCTGGATATGGAAAACCTAGATACAAATCCCTCCTGTGCCTGATTTGGAGCAGGGATTTGAACCCAGCTTTCTTGCCTCCCAGGTGAGTGCCTTAATCACCAGGCTACAGAGTCTCTTTCTCAAGTTCTCCCGCAGGAGCTGTTCCACTCTGTATAAACAAACATTCCTCGGGCCAGGGAGAGACTGAGTGCATAGTCCAGTGGTCAGGGCATTCACCGGTGTTGTGGGAAGACAGGTTCAAGTCCCTGCCCCGAATCTAGCATTTTGTGGGTTGCAGGTCTTCCCTCTGGACAGCAGAGGCTGCTCCTCTGAGAGATGCTGAATAGCCATAGAACCCCATTCTGCAACTGCTGTTGATTCCTCCCCTCTGTTGCTTTCCTGGGGAAAAGGCAGAGGAAAGGGGCTGCTCCAGCTCAAACCCCATACAGGGGGAAAGCCCTGCAGTGTGTGCAGTGGTGGTGTGCGTCGAGAGGAGGGGAGAAGTACCAGGTCACTCAGTGGTGGTGATGGTGCTGGGAGACCAGAGATAGTAACGGGGAACCCTGTAGTGAATGTGGAGAAGAGAGAGCACAGGGAACCTCCCATAAGTTGAGTGAGAGAAGACAGAGCAGGAACTTTACAGGGGATTGAGGGAAAGAAAAGGGGAACATAAAAATGGGTGGAGGAGAGGGGATGGGAAAGAAGACCAGAAGGAAGAGCCTCCAGAGTTGGGAACTGGAAGAAGGAAGGAGGGATTGGAAGGGAAACCCTGAAAGGAGAATGCCACAGAAGAGAGCAGGCCCATTGGCTGCCTCTGATTATATCTTCTTTTAGTTACCTCTGAGCTGAGTTAGAGACATTTAGCTCTTACTTTCTTTCTTCATAGAGGACTCCAGCCAATTCCATAGTCTGTTTTGTTAGATTGCCCCGACCTACCTCCACTTTTTCTACTCCTTTCAGATGACCTGAACAGAATGTATTTTTCCAGGTGAGACCTTCCCCAAATCCCATACAGAGGGACTGCTGCTTCTCCTCTACAAGACTTGCTCTTGAGGGTATGGACTTGAAATGGTGTTGGCCTTTTTGGTTGACACTTTGCCATGTAAGATCAAATTGGATTTGCTGTCCATGATCACCCCTAAGTCTCTCTGAGCATTTCAGGTTTCTCTCTCCCATTGGATATCTGGGTTTCCCAGTATTTCTCTATAGCTGAATTAGCTGCATTTTTCCAAGCCGAATTTCATTGTGTCATTTCCTGCCCATATTTCTGTCCTTTATCTTCTTTTGCATTTATTTCTTTGATGGAGTTTGCATCTTCCTTATCACTTTTTAATGGAAATTATTTTATTGTTTGAGCTAAGACTGTCAAGCGATTAAAAAAATTAATCGCACGATTAAACAAATTAATCGTATGATTAATTGCACTGCTAAACAGTAATAGAATATAATTTATTTAAACAATTTTGGATGTCTTCTACATTTTCCAGTATATTGATTTCAGTTACTACACAGAATACAAAGTGTACAGTGCTCACTTTATATTTATTTTTTATTACAAATATTTGCACTGTAAAAAAACAAAAGAAATAGTATTTTTCAATTCACCTAATTACAAGTACTGTAGTGCAATCTCTTTATCATGAAAGTTGAACTTACAAATGTAGAATTAGGTACAAAAAACCCCTGCATTAAATAATAAAATAATGTAAAATTGTATCCAAATCCACTCAGTCCTACTTCAGCCAATCGCTCAGACAAACAAGTTTGGTTACAATTTGCAGGAGATGCTGCTGTCCTCTTCTTGTTTACAATGTCACCTGAAATTGAGAACAGGCGTTCAGATGCCACTGTTGTAGCTGGCGTCGCAAGATATTTACATGCACATTTACATGTGCTAAAGATTCATATGTCCCTTCATGCTTCAACCACCATTCCAGAGGACATGCATCCATGCTGATGACGGTTTCTGCTAGATAACAATCCAAAGCAGTGAGGACCGATGCATGTTCATTTTCATCATCTGAGTCAGATGCCACCTGCAGAAGGTTGATTTTCTTTTTTGGTGGTTTGGGTT